ATATATATATATATATATATATATATATATATATATAAACCAATTGCGGTGGTTCAGAGTAGTTTTCTATCAGGTTACTCTGGTACTGATACAATTTCAACTCTTTAAGTTATTATCGCTGTTAAAGAGTATTTTTCTTTCTGATATTTTTGAGGATAAAAAGTGTTCATGGAGAACTTGAAGATTCCATTGTGAAATGAAGTGTTGCAATGGTATCTTCTTTCTGTGTGGACTTTAAACAGAGAATATGCCTACTGATGCCATCGGCTTTACAGCCACAGTCATAACCCGCAAGTTCGCTTTCACACAGTTTAATTATTTCACAAGTATATAGACAAAAATATATTCAAAATTGCAGAGTGTTTGGTTATATATGGAAAAAATAAAAACAATAGTAGTGCATAGCTAGTGTCTGTGATGTTGCTGAAAGCCTGTGAGAATGTCATAATTTTGGTCCTGTCATTTTCTATGTGAACATTCAAAAACTTGAAATCAGTTATGTCAGAAGAGCTCATTAAATCAGTTTTATTATGCACAATATATATTATAATTGTGTAGATGGACTGTAGGTGTTCATGTAGGTACAATAAAAGGGTCTAGAATCAATCGATCAAGCTAACAAACATAGTTTGGATGATTACATTAATATACTAAATAACTGAATTACACACCAAAATGGAGAGCCTTAAAGATAATTAATTTTCTAAAGAAATTGCTTAAAAATATATTTGTGTAAGTAAATAATATATGCTCAGTTCAAGAATATTTGATTAAAGTGTTAAGCATGTATGTCACTTGTCCATTCAAGCGTGTAAGGATTTTGAGTGGTCACAGGGTCTTTTCATTGTGCCTCTGTGTTGATGTCACATCACCCACTTGTGAAGACTATGGAGAAGTGCCAATTGTTCTTTGTTTTATTATTATTTTTGCTGATCTGTAATGTGTAGGTGGTGCTGTATAAAAAGCCATTTATATCAGTGTAATTCATTGCACATCCATTTTGCATGAGCTTAATCCCCCACATTCCTTAGAGACTATGATATCAAATCTATAACCTTCTCACTTACACAATAATCACTGCCTTTTGGTTCCTCTGTCCTTGTCAGGCTGCAGCGACGAGGCCCGTTATCATCCATTATTCAACTG